ATTTAGTTTTATTGTCTCCCCCTCACTATTGTTAGGGTGAGGGGTAGGTAGGGCTTTATCTAATTTTGAGTGGTAGGGGTGACTAGGGTCTTTTGACCCCTAGTCACCTGGGAGGTGTTTTTACACTTAGCCCCCACATGATGCCCATGGTTGGGGGTGGGAAGGACAATAGGCCAGGGTCCTGAGGCCTGCAACGTGTCTGCAGAATAACTAAGTGTCCAGTCTACTCCAATCCATACTGAAGTTAAAGTGAAATAACTGTGGAGATAAAATCATATACAAGCACCTAGTGCAATACTGTACAATACAATATATGTAAACAGTAAATATGTGATTTAGTACTCACAAAGGAGGAGCCAACAAGTAATGGCTCAATAAGAGTGCCTGTGGGATGATTGGAAGGGATCCCACTCCCTTTCTGGATGTCTTTCTGGGTTCAAGGGTATTCCAATAATGCTAAAAGAAATGTCCACTCCAATAAAATATTGGGGACTAAATTCTTTTAATAGTAAGTAATAGAAATAGTAGATAGTAAAATACAAATATATAAAAGTAAATAAGAACTTAACATAGCACTGTAATAAGTGCATAGAAAGTCCAAACAAATTGCAAAACGCGTTTCGCCCAGCTCATGGGCTTCCTCAGTTGCTAGTAATGTCCATAACACAGTGTAGATTTATACCTGTCCAGAAAAAGTTGTTTCCGGGTTCGCGCTGGTTTTTCACTTCCGGTCGCGTCCTAATGACGTATTTCCGGTCCGCGGCTTGTTAGCTAGGTCCTCATTGGAACGCATATGCGTTCCACACATTCAATAAAAGTTGTGTATGGACATTACTAGCAACTGAGGAAGCCCATGAGCTGGGCGAAACGCGTTTTGCAATTTGTTTGGACTTTATATGCACTTATTATAGTGCTATGTTAAGTTCTTATTTACTTTTATATATTTGTATTTTACTATCTACTATTTCTATTACTTACTATTAAAAGAATTTAGTCCCCAATATTTTATTGGAGTGGACATTTCTTTTAGCATTATTGGAAGACCCTTGAACCCAGAAAGACATCCAGAAAGGGAGTGGGATCCCTTCCAATCATCCCACAGGCACTCTTATTGAGCCATTACTTGTTGGCTCCTCCTTTGTGAGTACTAAATCACATATTTACTGTTTACATATATTGTATTGTACAGTATTGCACTAGGTGCTTGTATATGATTTTATCTCCACAGTTATTTCATTGACCTACATGATACCATCTTTAACCCTGAATTGCATCATTCCACCCATTTGTATGTATATGATTTTATGCTATTTGTTGTGTGGATAGAGAGGTTACCACACAGGTGTTTTTAGAGTGATTTGGCATATATTTGGGCTACACGTTGGAACTCTGTTTTTGTATTTTTGATTGTCATTGTATCCTCTCACTGAGTGAAGCGTGTTTTAATTATCAATGACATTCTTAGAGAATAGGAATTACCGCATTGATATTGATATGTGTTTTATAGGGAGAAAAGACAGTACCCTAACACAAGACTACAACAATGTAGATAAAAGTAAATATAATTTGGAAAAAACACTAATTAAGGAGATGAAAACTAAATGGGAGATAGCAACATTAAACAAATACGTTAATGAAAGAATTACTCCACGAGGGCTAAGATTCACAAAAGAACCAACCTCAGATAGAGATGATCCACACTTTATGACAGGTTGGAATCAAATGCTGGATGGTTTTTCTTTCAGCCTTATGGGCTACATTGTAGCTAGGAGGGAAGAAAGTATGCCCAAACTTAATGAAGAAATCATTAAGTGGAAAGAAAATCTCATTGAAAACACTAGTCCTGAAATTTTTAACAATATAGTTAAAGATATTAGAGTCAAAATAGACAAAATTTAAAATATAGTCATAGATACCAAAAAAAGAAAATATCTTAGAGATGTCAATGATTATAAAACAGGAAATGTGAGAAAGCAGAAAAAAAATGGAAATATAAGAGAAAGAAGTCCCTATAGAAATAGGAATGATAAAATGAGACGACATTCTGGATATGACAAATTTGTACCTAGAAGTACGGGGGATTATAGAGAGAGATCTCCACGAAAATATACCAACACACAGTGGGAACCTAATAACAAAGGACAACGCCATAATAAGGACCGAGAATCGAATATTCAAAGACCAAGAAGCCAATTATATAATGATGATAGAAGAAGCTATAGCTCAGTAGTAAAAAATGGAACACCAAGGAAACCTATTGTAAATGAGGAGAAAACATTCCAAAATAGGAGAAATAAAGATTCAAGAAGCACACTTATTGCTAAGAAACACACACAACCGAGGTCTGAGTTAACCCCAGTAGGGACAGCATCCTCTTCCTCTTCATTTTTTTCAGAAGGACCCAACCAACAACAGATTACAGTGGTCCCAGAGGATTCTCCCTCAAGAATCCCCTGGGAAAAGACAGAGAACTATAGAAGAAGAAGAAGAGGAGGAACCTCTTTACAGGGAGAAACGAAACAGGAAATGAACATAAAGGGAATTTTTAATCTCACACAGAAAGATTTTACAGTAGAACAGGAGCAAATTCTTAAAAATGGTCTTAAATTTGCACCGACATCGGATTTTAATTCGTTTGATTTTTTTATTGATCTTAATCATTTTATTAGAAAACTATCTTTAAAGAAATTTTTTCATGGTAAAAAAGATATGCTAACCCCTATCCAAGATGATACCTTCATACACTCTGATCTCAAGAATAGGTCAACCTTTTTTCCAAGACAAATGATCTCTGATCAAATGAAGGCCTTCGAGATCATAGTTATGAAGGAAGTGAGTAAAATTAAGAAAATCACCAACTATCAGCAGAATGTATCTTGGAAAGAACAAAGAGCAATAAAGGAGATGGGGAAAAGTAATGAGATTGTCATAAAACCAGCAGACAAGGGGGGAGGAATCGTCATTTTCAATAAAGAGCACTATATAAAAGAAGCAGAGAAAATTATTTTAGATCCACTAACGTACCAGCAACTACCATCGAATCCTATGGGAGAAATAAAGAAAAAATTTGAGGAATATATTATAAAAGGAAAGGAACAAAAAATCATTAATGAAAAAGAAGCTAACTATTTATCTATCAACTATCCCAAAGTACCAGTATTTTACCACCTACCTAAAGTACATAAGGATCAACAAAACCCACCAGGTAGGCCTATAATATCAGGTATTGATTCTGTATCCACACGGATATCAGAATATATAGACATTATGCTGCAACCTCTAGTAGTGAAAAATCCGTATTACCTCAAAGATACCATCCAGATGCTCCAAATATTAGAACAGACTGAATGGCAGGAAGGTAACTTGTTAGTTACATGTGACGTTAGCTCCCTATATAGCATAATGAAAAGGGACTTGAAGCTGCAAAGTATTTTTTAGAAAAATCATCTTTTAAAAAAGAACAAATAGAGTTCATTTTAGAAGGTATTTTACTTATTTTAACCAATAATTTTTTTTGGTTTCAAGACCATTTTTATTTACAGATCTGCGGTACAGCTATGGGCACCAAGTTTGCCCCCAGTTATGCCAACTTATTTATGGCATACTGGGAAGAATCTTTCATTTCCAGTGGCCATGGCTGGAGGGCTAACTTGGTGTCCTACCGCAGATATATAGATGATATATTTTTTATCTGGAAAGGCAGTAGCTATGAATTGACATGTTTTTTTGAGTTTCTCAATACTAACGATTGGGGCATTAAATTGTCTAGTAGTGTGAGTAACGTTGATATTAATTTCTTGGATCTTAACATCTATATAAAAGAATCTAGTATCTACACTAGAAATTATTTTAAACCGGTGGACTCAAATAGTTATATTGATCGAACAAGTTGTCACCATACCCCTTGGCTCACAAATGCCCCTAAAGGGCAATTCAAAAGGATCAGGAGGAACTGCAAAGAAGAAGAAGAATATATTAAACAGGCTGAATATATAAAAAAACAATTCATAGAGAAAGGTTATGAAGAAGAAGCTCTAAAAAAAGATATGGAAGAAATTAGGCTTTTGGAAAGAAATAAATTGTTGAAATATAAATCTAAAAACAAGACATATAAGTCTGAGGAAGTCCCTTTTATCAGCAAATATAGTGGAAACACAAGAAGAATACAACGAGTCATTAATAAACATTGGCACATTCTAAGAGATGACCCTGTATTGAAAGATATTTTACCTCCCAAACCAAGAATGATCTATAGAGGCACAAATAACCTTAGAAATATGTTAGTTAAAAGTAATTTAGAGACAACGAAATCTAAGCATTTTATTGAGAATTTGATAGGTTTTTATGGTTATGGGGAATGTCTACCATGCAGAGGCACGAATAATAAAAAAGACATTTCGTGGACATAAGTGACATAATAGGACGGTCATCCAAAATAAGAGATCACCTTACCTGTCACTCTAAGGGAATTATTTATGTCCTGAAATGTCCATGCAATCTCCTCTACATAGGGAGAACTATACGACCTTTAAATGTAAGAATTGCGGAACATGTCCGTAATATTAAAAAGGGTCTTGACACACATTCTGTTTCCCAACACTTTAAAACCCAACACCACCAAGACCCCACGGGTCTATTTTTTTTGTGCAATAAAATCAGTTCAAAGGGATTGGAGAGGAGGAAATTATATTAACAAGCTAGGGAAAGAAGAAATGAAATTTATTTTTAATTTTAATACTCTTATACCCAATGGTCTTAACTAAGATTTTGAAATCTGCCACTTTTTATAACATGTTTTTTTTTTTTGCTTAGTTATAATAGATGTTTTTATATTTGTTATTTTCGTCTTGTTTGTATTATGGTGTCTTTTATCTAAATATGTGTTAATTTTATACACAATTCCATACACAACTTTTAAATGATATAATTCTTATTGATTTTTAATAAGGTTTATAAGATTCCCTTTTATTAGATATGGAGGTTCCTTTACTCCTTTTACCCCATACCAAATGTATCTATCATCTAGCATGTATATTGTCTATGGCTCAAGGGAAAAAACAGAGCCTGTACAAATATGGACTTTTGTTCTTTGACTAGAGAGTAAAGTTTATTGAATGTGTGGAACGCATATGCGTTCCAATGAGGACCTAGCTAACAAGCCGCGGACCGGAAATACGTCATTAGGACGCGACCGGAAGTGAAAAAACGGCGCGAACCCGGAAACAACTATTTTTCTGGACAGGTATAAATCTACACTGTGTTATGGACATTACTAGCAACTGAGGAAGCCCATGAGCTGGGCGAAACGTGTTTTGCAATTTGTTTGGACTTTATATGCACTTATTATAGTGCTATGTTAAGTTCTTATTTACTTTTATATATTTGTATTTTACTATCTACTATTTCTATTACTTACTATTAAAAGAATTTAGTCCCCAATATTTTATTGGAGTGGACATTTCTTTTAGCATTATTGGAAGACCCTTGAACCCAGAAAGACATCTAGAAAGGGAGTGGGATCCCTTCCAATCATCCCACAGGCACTCTTATTGAGCCATTACTTGTTGGCTCCTCCTTTGTGAGTACTAAATCACATATTTACTGTTTACATATATTGTATTGTACAGTATTGCACTAGGTGCTTGTATATGATTTTATCTCTACAGTTATTTCATTGACCTACATGATACCATCTTTAACCCTGAATTGCATCATTCCACCCATTTGTATGTATATGATTTTATGCTATTTGTTGTGTGGATAGAGAGGTTACCACACGGGTGTTTTTAGAGTGATTTGGCATATATTTGGGCTACACGTTGGAACGCTGTTTTTGTATTTTTGAAGTTAAAGTGAGTCAGAGCTACAGCCACTTTTGCCAAAAAAGAACGGTGGTAATCATAGAATGCCATACCACCGTACTTGTACCCCAGCTCCACCACATTATGCATTTACACATCCAGTGCCTCTCTTTTCTCAGGATAAACGGAATATTACACATCCCTATAGATACTGAAAGCCAGTATGAATTCAGGTAAAGAATTTCTTATTCAACCTCGGATGTCTCAGTTTAAGCACCACTTAAATATCCTCATCTGCATATGTCCTGTTCATCCTCAATGACTTCCTGGGAGGCAATAAGGAGCGAGACACAAGGTTTTAACATCCTTGCCCTCCAGGATGTCTTTCTGGAGGTGAGCTGGAACCATATGTGATGGGTTAATGACCTCCGGGACTTTCAGTGGAACTGGAGAATTACCCGGGGTTGCCGTTGATAATGCAGCTGGGATAGTATTTATGGATCTAGCAGCATCTAGAATGATCATTACAATTTATATATGTTAATGAAAAATTAAAAAATCAATAAAACAAAACATGCATCCATGAAGATTTTTTTGATACCTCATACTCATAATTACATAGCTGAAAAGAGACTTGCGTCTATCAAGTTCAGCCTTCCTCACATTTTGCTGTTGATCTAAAAGAAGGCAAAAAACCTAGTCTGAAGCGCTTCCAATTTTGCAACAAACTAGGAAAAAATTTCTTCTTGACCCCAAAATAGCAGTCAGATGTCTCCTTGGATCAAGCAGCTATTACCCCACTAATTAGAAATTATATCCCTGTATGTTATGTTTTTGTAAGTATTTATCAAATTGCAGTTTAAACCTCTGTAGTGACTGACAAAACCACCTCTTCAGGCAGAGAATTCCATATCCTTGTTGCTCCTACTGTTAAAAAAAAAAAAAAAAAACTTTTCTTTGCCTTAGATGAAATCTCATTTCTTCCAGCCTAAATGTGTGACCTCGTGTCCTATGTATAGCCCTGTTTATGAATAGATTTCCAGATAAAGGTTTGAACTGGCCCCGCATATATTTGTATGTTATCACATCCCCTCTGAGGCTCTGTTTTTCCAAACTAAACAGATTTAATTTTAACCTTTCTTCATAACTAAAATGCTCCATTCCTTTTATCAATTTTGTAGCTCGTCTCTGGACCCTCTCCAGTGCCATGATATTTCTTTAGAACAGGCGCCCAAAATTGCACAGCATATTCAAGGTGTGGTCGTACCAGCGATTTATAAAGAGGCAGAATTATATTTTCATCCCGAGAATTTATGCCCCTATTTATACATGACAAACCCTTACTGTCCTTAGCAACTGAAGAGTGACATTGCATATTGCTGCCTAACTTGTTATCTATAACAATTCCCAAATCCTTTTCATGTGTGGTATCCCGAATTCACTACCATTTAGTGTGTAAGTTGCATTCTTAACCCAGAAGTGCATAACTTTGTATTTCTCAACGTTAAATTTCATCTGCAATTTTAGTGCCCAGTCCCCAAATCTCGCTGCAGCAAAGCAATATCCTGCTCACATTTTATTACTTTACAAAGTTTTGTGTCATCTGCAAACACCGATACATGGCTTTCAAGGCCTATGTCAAGATCATTTAAAAATATGTTAAATAGAAATGGTCCCAAAACAGAACCCTGAGGGACACCACTTACCACTTTTGTCCAGCCTGAAAATTTACCATTATTGACTACTTGTTGTACTCTATCCTTAAGCCAATGTTCTACTAAAGAACAAGAATATTCATCTAGACCAATTTCTTTTAGTTTGAAGACTAACCTATTGTGAGGAACCGTATCAAATGCCTTGGCAAAATCCAAGTATATCACATCCACTGCAACACCCTGGTCTATACTTCTACTTAGTTCTTCGTAGAATGCAATTAGGTTAGTTTGACATGACCTATGTTTCATAAAACCATGCTGATTATTGCTAATAAAGTTCTTCCCAATGAATTCCTGAATATTATCCCTTAATAGCCGTTCAAATATTTTCCCAGTTACAGAAGTTAAGCGCACAGGTCTATAATTTCCAGGCAATGATTTTGAACCCTTTTTAAATATAGGAACAACATCTGCCTTCCTCCAATCCTCCGGTAAAAAACCTGAAACAAAAGAATCTTGAAAATTAAATACAGAGGTTCACTTATTTCCCCACTTAGCTCCTTAACCCCTTAAGGAAACATGACGGAAATATTCCGCCATGATTCCCTTTTATTTCAGAAGTTGTGTCCTTAAGGGTTTAAGTACTCGTGGGTGAATACCGTCAGGCCCCGGAGCTTTATTTACATTAATTTTCTTTAATAGCTGTAGCACCTTGTCTCGAGTTATCCAATCACAAGTTGTTTGCAGCAATCATTTGCATATCTCTTGCCATAGGATCCTCATTAATATATACTGAAGAAAAATAGTTATTTAAATTTTCTGCTTTTTCCTGGTCTTCATTAGCTAATAAACCCAATTCTGTTTCCAGTGTACCTACATTATCATTTTTTGTTTTTTTAGAATTGATGTACTTGAAAAAAATTTTGGGGTTGGTTTTTCATTCTTTAGCTATCAATGTCTCATTTTCTAGTTTAGCCACTTTAATTGCCTTTTTGCAAGCATTATTGGCTTCCTTATATCTTAAATAGGATGCCTCTGATTTGTCTGATTTAAATGCCATTTTCTTATTTTTAGTCTCTTGTTTACTTCTCCACTAAGCCATATTGGTTTTAATTTGTTTCTTTTATATTTATTACCCAATTGTACATACTGAGAAATGTACCTTTCTAATATTTGTTTGAATAGTTTCCATTTATCCTTTCTAATATTTGTTTGAAACTATTCAAACAAATATTAGAAAGGTACATTCAAAACGGGAAGAAAAAATTTATATACAGTACATTAATAAAAAATATTTTCAATGAATCATGTCTTCTAAAAGTGAATAGGTGCAGGTTCTAAGATTAAGCTTGTGCTTTCAATGTCAGGAATAAAGTGAATATTTATAAAGAAAAGGAGAGAAATTCTAAATTGTAGTGTATATGTAGTTATATGCATTCAGTTTATCTAAAGAGGAATATTAAAACTTGCAAAAAACAAGGAGGGGGCAGGTAAACAGAGTGGGCAAATGTTTAAAAATACACAAAACACCATAAATATAAAAAAAAAGAAAGAAAAAAAAGGTGGCTCATGACTTAAAGTAATTATAAAATTTCTTAAACTATTTTGTTAAAAACAAAATATATTTAACAAAGGTACACACAGATAAAATAGATAGTAAACATAAAAGGAGCATCATTCACGGGTAAGCGACTTAATGAGCGATAAACTCACAATAATAAAAAAAAAAATGTATGTGCGCTCTTAAATATGAAACCTAGACAGATTAGAAAATAAATATAAATCTTAATATAACCACATATATAAAAACTCATGAATAAAAATCAAGCTGTTTCACATCCTCAGTAGTAGATCTGAAAACATTTCTAGACAAACAAAATCTTTTTTTTTTTTGTCATAACTTTTAAAAAAATGACATTTAGAAATCATTGTTTAAGCCATTCGGAACCATGGTGTTCAGTACATAAATCCATTTCATTTCTGCCCGTCCTAATTTTTGGTTCAAGTCGCCGCCTCTCAAATCTCCCCTTATTTTTTTGAATACCCATAAAGTGTAGTGCGAACTTCCTTTTAATGTTATACACATGCTTTTCAATTCTCATGTGCCACATTCTCATTGAATGCGGCCTATGTCGTTCAATCCACACGGGCAGATGAGCATGTATATCACATTGCGGGAACTGCAAGTAATACCATCTCTAATATCATATGAACGGCCATTTGCTTTTTCTTTTCCCCCAGTCTTTAAGCAGGCGTTACAGTTTAAAAACCCTTGGTATGCATCTAAAAAAAAAAATCTCTTTAAATTTTCTCCTGGGGTTTCTAAAATGCTGTCTGTGAGGACTCTCTTAAGGTTGCATCAACCTAGCTTTTATACACGTTATCCAGCCACGGACTGTAGTGGCAACATGGACTGTAGATGTTAATAGCTACATCCAGACCAACAGTTTCCACTACAGTCCAGGGCTGGATAACATACCTAAAAGCCAACTTACTAGGATGAAAAGAAACTATAGATATCCAACAAAGTGTTTTTATCCAACAAAGTAAAAAATTGATTCAAAGATTTTAAAGATCGAGCTTATAGTGAAGAGATTTGGAGTCTTTTCATACAATTTAAGAAATATTCCTGGCTCACAGGGTGCCTTTTAACAAGCGATATAAAGTATATGTCATTGTATATTTATCGAAATGACACACTGATCTTGAATGAATAAGTTTTTCAAATAATTACAGTTAGAAAAAAAAAAGTTTCCAAATTATTTATCGAAAAAAAAAA